GAATTGGAATAGATACTAAAATAATCATCCTCCCACTCGGAGTGAAATTATATATTTTGGGCTCTTTTGCTTCTGCCATAATTGTGGTCTTGTGTGTGTGCGGACTGTCACTCCTGTTGTCACTGACAACGTCAGCAAACTAGCAACCAGCCATGCCCCGATACATGGGGTCACGCCAATCACAAAGCTTTGATGCATTCAAGTGCATTTTTTGGCACAGGAAGATTATGTTATAGGACTTTAACGATAAAACAGAATATTGTTGTTCTATTTTTAGAAACATCTCGCGATCGACTGGGAATCTCCCCACGATCGACCGGTTGGGCACCCCTGAACTAGACAACACATCAAACTTCTTGAACCGTACCTGTTTTTCCATCTCAGAACATTGTCCAAGCTCAGGGGGGTTCTATCAAACGCAGAAATGGAGATGGCCATCCATGCCTTTATTTCATCCCGGCTTGATTACTGTAATGCTCTGTTCTCCTGTCTCAACAAAACATCAATAAACCGGTTACAACAGGTCCAAAACGCTGCAGCCAGATTGCTCACTGGTTCCAAAAAAACATGCCCTCTCCTCATCATGTTCCCTGTCCATCTCAGAACCCAATTTAAGGTCCTAGTTTTTACATATAGAGCTGTCCATGGCCAAGCCCCAGCCCATTAATGACCTGATCCACCCTCATAGCACAACCCGGGCCCTGAGGTCCTCTGAGCAAGGCCTCCTAAGGGTGCCCCGAACCATGCTAAAGACTAAGGGTGATCGTGCCTTTGAGGCGGTGGTCCCAAGGCTATGGAACAAACTCCCCCAGAAAATAAAAACCTCTGCCTCAATAGAGATTTTTAAGGGGCAGTTAAAGACCCACCTTTTCCGACAGACCTTTGGGTCGTCGTCGGAGGTGAGTTAGTAGCTGTCTTTTATTGGTGTTTTATCCTATGTATTACCTGCTGTTGTTTTATGCCTTTTATTCTACATTTTATAATTGTACTGTAAAGCACTTTGTACATCCGTGTTGAGAAGGGTGCTATATAAATAAAGTTTTACTTACTTACACGCATGGCATACTTGGGCACCCAGACATCTTTTACAGCTGATGCAGTTCATTGCTCAGCCATTAGCATCCCCTCTTCATCCGCTGTGTCAGTGTCCGCCTGGCTGGCTCTGGCTGAAGCTGGCCGACCTGTGAACACCACCTCCTAATGTGCTTTTCATGTCTGCTGGTCCTCCTCTGCCAGGTTGGCCCTGATGACGCATGTTAGGACAACTTAGTGTGTGGAGAAGATGAGAAAGTACAGATACAATAGAGAGTGTTGATTAAAGTTTAATTTATTTCTATACATTCAGTACTGCAATGCTATGTAACATCAATTCCTTCAGAACTCAAACATCAGGCCTTCACACGTTCTCAGGCACAATTGCATACACTCACCTCTATTATGAAACAAAGCAGTCATAGACATAGAGTCTTTCTCTGGCAGCCGCGTGACTACTTTGACAATCACTTTGAATCAAGCTGCAGCACTTGTTAACACACACATTTAAAGCAAAACAAACACTGAACACATACAACTCAATGCATGTGTGTTATTTTCATGCACTTGCTTGCATATTGGATGTCTGAAAGACAACCATTCGCTGACAAACGGCACCAAAATAAAATGCAACTAATTTAGCATTTACGGCTTCGTGTAGGGCAACATTGAAAATCCGAAGCCATTGTCTTTTTAATTATATTATTACTCTTTCTATTTTATATACTGCCCATACCTGCCACCTAGATTACCAACAATGCAATGTTTTATGCTAGTAGCAGCAACCAATGGAGAGTAGCAAGACAATTTATACAATTTTGTTGGTTCCTCACCTTGTTGTCAAGTGTTATGATTAAACGACTCCCCGAGTACTTGAAAACACCACGGCACACATCTGCTTTTCACAGGAAGCCAACTTTAGATTACTTTTTAAATTGAATGATATAGTACTGATGTTGATCCTGACAGACAGAATAACTACTGGCAAACATTAGGGGATGTTTATGCATTTTAAGGATTTGTGGAGATTAAGGATTCTTAAGCCTGAGATTATTCTTACGAAATGCTTTTTTTCAGTTATATGATGCAGTTTTTGTGCACAAAAACAAATAATAAGCTAAAATCAATTCAAAGCCATAATATTTGTGCAATTTGATGAGATAAAAGATCCAATGAAATCTGTTATCAAACGGGCACAAGAATGATGACACATGTCCAGCAGGTGGACAGACCCACACAGCTTTTTGTCGTGTGTCGCCTTTATCTCTGCCTTTGAATGCTCCTTCCACCTCCGCTCTGTAGTGGTAATGACCGTCATATTGGAAATGTGTCCAGCCGGGCCTCGTAAACCATTACAGCGTGCCTAGGAAACCCCATTAATCTTTCTGAGAGGCGTTTGACCTTTCAAACTCATTAGCCACAGCTGGTGTGTAGACAGACGTGAACGCATACACAAACCGCAGACGCACTCATACTCACTTTACCCCCGGGCGCAAACAACATATACAGGGACGCTCAGGCAGACTCAGACCATTTGCACACACGCACACGCACACACACACGCAGGTGAAGTGTGAACGCAGCAGTGTGTGTTCTGCCAATATCGCCTTTACCAGCTTGCCATCCCTCTCTCTCTCTCTACCTTGGTTGTCTCTCTCCTGTCCTTTCCATCCCCTTGCTTCCTTACCGTGTGGGTATGGTCAGTGACCTGGAAAATTGCCCGACCTTTTAATACGCAGCTTCCTCGGTGATGAATAAATACATAAATCGCGCGGCTCCGGCTCAGTCACTTTTATGATACCCCTCCCTACCCCGATTCTTCCCTCGTGTGCACCTCATCACACACCGTCATCTGCACCCACTCAATATAGACACAGTGCAGGAAAGCAGGGGTGTCTTGAAGTGATAGCCCCCTGTGGATAAGACTATCCATAATGAAAGGGTGTTAGTGACTGGACTTGAGGGCGAGAGAGTGTGAACAGCGTAGATGGCAAAGGATGTAATGGGGTGAGTGGGTGAGACAGGTTAACACGCCAGCATGGTACCTGTTCCTCTCAGTTCATCATCAGGCGAGGGCAGGAGTGATGGTTCTTTGTACATGGAGGTGGCAGAGGATGAAGTTTTGCGAAAGGCAAGGACAGTTGACACAGCAGCATGGGCCCTGCTCTAGTCAGTTTATCAAAAGTGTATGGGAGAGCCGAACAGGCTGTAATAGGCTAAGTGGTTTGGCTGGGGCAGATAAAACATATTCAGAAAAGGGGAAACTGATAATGTATGAACAATTATTTAAAGAGTGTGCAGAGGTGGTAAGGAAAGCAGGGAAACCGAACTTCGAATTTGGCACAAACCTGACCCGGCCAGATTCACTCAACAAAATATTTCTGCCCTAACATTGCTCGAAGCGCGAAGCCAATATTTTAAAGACAGAACAACTCTCAGGTCAAATGTCCCTCAGGAGATGGAGATAGAATATGTGTGGGAGGGAGAGATGAGTAGTAGTGCAGAGGCAGATCGAGAATATTTGATTAGTTAAAGAGCAGCCAGAGCATGCTTAAACCCTAAACAATTGTCCCTAAAAAGTAAAAATACTTTCTTGAGGTTTCTTGTCAGAAAACAAAAGTTGTGTTTGCATTTGTTGTTTCTCAGAAAAACAGCATGTTTGTAAAAAGAAAATGAAATTAGTGCACTTTATTTCTCAACATATTCAAGTTCTTGTGTGTCCATCTTAGCGAGACAAACACAACATATGCCTCATGAAGCCCTTATGGCACTCCACAGGGTACTGATGTAGACTCTTGGCTACTTGTTATTATGATGTCAATAAGTACATTTCTTTACATATGTCTGTGTGTTAGTGTGTGTTTGTAGAGTGATTGTATTCATTTATTTGTGTGCCTTGTGATTGCAATCAGTGTCATCAGTTCTGGACGGAGCAAATTCCCTGTTGCTTTTCAGCTACAAATCTTTCCTTCCTGTTTGCAAGGGAAATAGTGCGCAAGCTAATCAGTGCTCCAACAAGCCATCTAGTCGGTGAAATCATGGACAACCAGCCATTTAGGCAGGTCATCTGGCAACCAAATGGCCGCTACAACAGCCAGTCAGGAAGCTGCTTAATCCAGCAGTCATAATACAGTACCTATTTGGCTCATGCCCATTGCCATTTTGTCCTCTCGGCTGTCAGTCATCGGCATTTGATGAAATAATCATTTCAGCGAGCAGCCACTGATTGTCTGTCAACAGCGTGAGCACCAACGGCATTACTTCCTGTGCTGTACCTCCAATAGGTTAATACTCACTGAACCCTCATCTCTGAACCTACATGATGCATAATCAGTCCCAAAGCATCAACTGTTCCCCCTGGTACATCAAAGGAAAGAAACATTGTTCCTCAGGCGATATACAGATACAGCACAGCAAGTTTCCTGCTTGTTTTGCACCACAGGTACCAGAACCAGATCTACACTGAGGCTGTATTTGCTAAGAAAATATGCAAATCAAGTTGTAGCACCAACAGCTATCAAAAGAGCACTGCACAAGCAAAACCCAAAAGTAAAAATAAATCTACACCAACTGTTGAGAGTACAAATCGTGTGCCTCAGCTGGAAGACTCATCCCCGTTCTGGCACCCTAAAGCATCCCCTTTAACTGGGGAATTCTCTGATTTGAGATTTGAGGATGTGAAACCCCCTGCTCTGCATGACTTCAAGGTCATGAAGTTCATGAAAACATTGTAGTCATTCTGAAAAATGATCTGGGTCACTCAATAGACCACTCGTGTTTTCTCTGGTCATTGCAGACAGAGGCGCCGCCAGGGATTTTGGGCCCCATGAAAATATATCACATTGGTTACTTAAACATTTTCTTCTTAATGTTCTAAAAAATGTTGGGCCTTTGTCAGTCACGGGCCCTTAGAATCGTCCTAACTTTTCAACCCCTCACGGTGCCCCTGAGTGCAGGGCTGATAGCCTTTTATTGACGTGTTTAGGCTTGTTACAGTAAATGGAAGCTGTAGTGTCAGGGTCCGGGAATTTTAGGACTCAAATTCAGTTTTTAAAAAGGTAAAATAACAAAAGGCGAGCTTTATTTACCAAAAAGCTGTAGACGATAAGCAAACAAGATATCATCCATAAATCCGTAACATGAGCATCCAAACAAAACCGACAGTCAAACATGGAGGGTGACAGGAAAGGTAAAGACAAACAATGAACCAACACCGAACACAGGAAGAGACGAGACTAAATACAGGGAGGGGTAATCACGAGACGAGAAACAGCCGGGCAGGGGAGGAGAAATATAAGGGCAACAGGTGAACACAATCAGACAATCAGACACACCAGGGAAACTAACGACAGGAAGGAGGACAAGACACCGGGAGAACAGAATTGCAAAATAAAACCATGACAAGACAGACCAAACTAAAACCGTGACATAAAACTAAGATCGTGATGTACCTTACAGTTTTTATATCTGGTAGTTGATTAGATGAGAATCAACCCAACCCTGCAAGTGTCAGATTAAGAACCAAATCCATTAGTTGCAAAGGCTAGATATGCAAAGTGCCACATCTGATGAGAATTAACACCCAACTATGCAGCTCTATCAGAAACTTTTTCTCATCATAGAGTAATTGCACATCTCTCTGTCCAAGGAGAGGGATCCCTCCTCAGCTGCTCTTCCTGAGGTTTCTTTCATTTTCAATAAGGACAGAGGATATCACACTCTGCACATTTTTAAATCCGCCTTAGACATGTGATTTGTCATATTGGCTGCATAAATACATATTGACTTAATTTGATTCAATGTTAAATGTAAATCTTCTTTTCAGCTGGCTTTCTGTTTGTCTTTTTTAATTTCCACATCCCACCTG